TCCCGCTTTCCATCACCCCGGCCCATTCTCCCTCTTTCCATCACCCCGCCCCATTCTTCCTCCTTCCATCACCCCACCCCATTCTCCCGCTTTCCATCACCCCGCCCCATTCTCCCGCTTTCCATCACCCCACCCCATTCTCCCGCTTTCCATCACCCCGCCCCATTCTCCCGCTTTCCATCACCCCGCCCCATTCTCCCTCCTTCCATCACCCTGCACCATTCTCCCTCCTTCCATCACCCCGCCCCATCCTCACGCTTTCCATCACCCCGCCCCATTCTCCCGCTTTCCATCACCCCGCACCATTCTCCCACTTTCCATAACCCCGCCCCATTCTCCCTCCTTTCATCACCCCGCCCCATTCTCCCGATTTCCATCACCCCGCCCCATTCTCCCGCTTTCCATCACCCCGCCCCATTCTCCCGCTTTCCATCACCCCGCCCCATTCTCCCGCTTTCCATCACCCCGCCCCATTCTCCCGCTTTCCATCACCCCGCCCCATTCTCCCGCTTTCCATCACCCCGCACCATTCTCCCGCTTTCCATCACCCCGCCCCATTCTCCCTCCTTCCATCACCCCACCCCATTCTCCCGTTTTCCATCACCATCACCCCGCCCCATTCTCCCTCCTTCCATCACCCCGCCCCTTTCTCCCGCTTTCCATCACCCCGCCCCATTCTCCCGCTTTCCATTTCTCCGCCCAATTCTCCCGCTTTCCATCACCCCGCCCCATTCTCCCGCTTTCCATCACCCCGCCCCATTCTCCCGCTTTCCATCACCCCGCCCCATTCTCCCGCTTTCCATCACCCCGCCCGATTCTCCCGCTTTCCATCACCCCGCCCCATTCTCCCGCTTTCCATCACCCCGCCCCATTCTCCCGCTTTCCATCACCCCGCCCCATTCTCCTGCTTTCCATCACCTCGCCCCATTCTCCCGCTTTCCATCACCCCGCCCCATTCTCCCGCTTTCCATCACCCCGCCCCATTCTCCCGCTTTCCATAACCCCGCCCCATTCTCCCTCAATCCATCATCCCGCCCCATTCTCCCGCTTTCCATCACCCCGCCCCATTCTCCCGCTTTCCATCACCCCGCCCCATTCTCCCGCTTTCCATCACCCCGCCCCATTCTCCCGCTTTCCATCATCCCGCCCCATTCTCCTGCTTTCCATCACCCCGCCCCATTCTCCCGCTTTCCATCACCCCGCCCCATTCTCCCGCATTCCATCACCCCGCCCCATTCTCCCGCTTTCCATCACCCCGCCCCATTCTCCCGCTTTCCATCACCCGGCCCCATTCTCCCGCTTTCCATCGCCTCGCCCCATTCTCCCGCTTTCTATCACCCCGCCCCATTCTCACGCTTTCCATCACCCCGCCCCATTCTCACGCTTTCCATCACCCCGCCCCATTCTCCCGCTTTCCATCATCCCGCCCCATTCTCCCGCTTTCTATCACCCCGCCCCATTCTCCCGCTTTCCATCACCCGGCCCCATTCTCCCTCCTTCCATCGCCTCGCCCCATTCTCCCTCCTTCCATCACCCCGCCCCATTCTCCCGCTTTCTATCACCCCGCCCCATTCTCCCGCTTTCCATCACCCCGCCCCATTCTCCCGCTTTCCATCACCCCGCCCCATTCTCCCGCTTTCCATCACCCCGCCCCATTCTCCCGCTTTCCATCACCCCGCCCCATTCTCCCGCTTTCCATCACCCCGCCCCATTCTCCCGCTTTCCATCACCCCGCCCCATTCTCCCGCTTTCCATCACCCCGCCCCATTCTCCCGCTTTCCATCACCCCGCCCCATTCTCCCGCTTTCCATCACCCCGCCCCATTCTCCCGCTTTCCATCACCCCGCCCCATTCTCCCGCTTTCCATCACCCCGCCCCATTCTCCCGCTTTCCATCACCCCGCCCCATTCTCCCGCTTTCCATCACCCCGCCCCATTCTCCTGCTTTCCATCACCTCGCCCCATTCTCCCGCTTTCCATCACCCCGCCCCATTCTCCCGCTTTCCATCACCCCGCCCCATTCTCCCGCTTTCCATCACCCCGCCCCATTCTCCCGCTTTCCATCACCCCGCCCCATTCTCCCGCTTTCCATCACCCCGCCCCATTCTCCAGCTTTCCATCACCCCGCCCCATTCTCCCTCCTTCCATCAACCCGCACCATTCTCCCTCCTTCCATCACCCCGCCCCATTCTCCTGCTTTCCATCACCCCGCCCCATTCTCCCGCTTTCCATCATCCCGCCCCATTCTCCCGCTTTCCATAACCCCGCCCCATTCTCCCTCAATCCATCAGCCCGCCCCATTCTCCCGCTTTCCATCACCCCGCCCCATTCTCCCGCTTTCCATCACCCCGCCCCATTCTCCCGCTTTCCATCACCCCGCCCCATTCTCCCGCTTTCCATCATCCCGCCCCATTCTCCTGCTTTCCATCACCCCGCCCCATTCTCCCGCTTTCCATCACCCCGCCCCATTCTCCCGCATTCCATCACCCCGCCCCATTCTCCCGCTTTCCATCACCCCGCCCCATTCTCCCGCTTTCCATCACCCCGCCCCATTCTCCCGCTTTCCATCACCCCGCCCCATTCTCCCGCTTTCTATCACCCCGCCCCATTCTCCCGCTTTCCATCACCCTGCCCCATTCTCCCGCTTTCCATCACCCCGCCCCATTCTCCCGCTTTCTATCACCCCGCCCCATTCTCCCGCTTTCTATCACCCCGCCCCATTCTCCCGCTTTCCATCACCCCGCCCCATTCTCCCGCTTTCCATCACCCCGCCCCATTCTCCCTCCTTCCATCGCCTCGCCCCATTCTCCCTCCTTCCATCGCCTCGCCCCATTCTCCCTCCTTCCATCACCCCGCCCCATTCTCACGCTTTCCATCACCCCGCACCATTCTCCCGCTTTCCATCACCCCGCCCCATTCTCCCGCTTTCCATCACCCCGCCCCATTCTCCCGCTTTACATCACCCCGCCCCATTCTCCCGCTTTCCATCACTCCGCCCAATTCTCCCGCTTTCCATCACCCCGCCCCATTCTCCCGCTTTCCATCACCCCGCCCCATTCTCCCGCTTTCCATCACCCCGCCCCATTCTCCTGCTTTCCATCACCCCGCCCCATTCTCCTGCTTTCCATCACCCCGCCCCATTCTCCCGCTTTCCATCACCCCGCCCCATTCTCCTGCTTTCCATCACCCCGCCCCATTCTCCTGCTTTCCATCACCCCGCCCCATTCTCCTGCTTTCCATCACCCTGCCCCATTCTCCCGCTTTCCATCACCCCGCCCCATTCTCCCGCTTTCCATCACCCCGCACCATTCTCCCGCTTTCCATAACCCCGCACCATTCTCCATCTTTCCATCACCCCGCCCCATTCTCCCGCTTTCCATGACCCCGCCCCATTCTCCCGCTTTCCATCACCCCACCCCATTCTCCCGCTTTCCATCACCCCGCCCCATTCTCCCTCCTTCCATCACCCCGCCCCATTCACCCGCTTTCCATCACCCCGCCCCATTCTCCCGCTTTCCATCACCCCGCCCCATTCTCCCGCTTTCCATCACCCCGCCCCATTCTCCCGCTTTCCATCACCCCGCCCCATTCTCCCGCTTTCCATCACCCCGCCCCATTCTCCCCCTTTCTATCACCCCGCCCCATTCTCCCGCTTTCCATCACCCTGCCCCATTCTCCCTCCTTCCATCGCCTCGCCCCATTCTCCCTCCTTCCATCACACCGCCCCATTCTCCCGCTTTCCATCACCCCGCCCCATTCTCCCGCTTTCCATCACCCCGCCCCATTCTCCCGCTTTCCATCACCCCGCACCATTCTCCCGCTTTCCATCACCCCGCCCCATTCTCCCGCTTTACATCACCCCGCCCCATTCTCCCGCTTTCCATAACTCCGCCCAATTCTCCCGCTTTCCATCACCCCGCCCCATTCTCCCGCTTTCCATCACCCCGCCCCATTCTCCCGCTTTCCATCACCCCGCCCCATTCTCCTGCTTTCCATCACCCCGCCCCATTCTCCTGCTTTCCATCACCCCGCCCCATTCTCCCGCTTTCCATCACCCTGCCCCATTCTCCCGCTTTCCATCACCCCGCCCCATTCTCCCGCTTTCCATCACCCCGCACCATTCTCCCGCTTTCCATAACCCCGCACCATTCTCCATCTTTCCATCACCCCGCACCATTCTCCCGCTTTCCATCACCCCGCCCCATTCTCCCGCTTTCCATCACCCCGCCCCATTCTCCCGCTTTCCATCACCCCGCCCCATTCTCCCTCCTTCCATCACCCCGCCCCATTCACCCGCTTTCCATCACCCCGCCCCATTCTCCCGCTTTCCATCACCCCGCCCCATTCTCCCGCTTTCCATCACCCCGCCCCATTCTCCCGCTTTCCATCACCCCGCCCCATTTTCCCGCTTTCCATCATCCCGCCCCATTCTCCCGCTTTCCATCACCCCGCCCCATTCTCTCGCTTTCCATCACCCCGCCCCATTCTCCCGCATTCCATCACCCGCCCCATTCTCCTGCTTTCCATCACCCCGCCCCATTCTCCCGCTTTCCATCACCCCGCCCCATTCTCCCGCTTTCTATCACCCCGCCCCATTCTCCCGCTTTCCATCACCCTGCCCCATTCTCCCTCCTTCCATCGCCTCGCCCCATTCTCCCTCCTTCCATCACCCAGCCCCATTCACCCGCTTTCCATCACCCCGCCCCATTCTCCCGCTTTCCATCACCCCGCCCCATTCTCCCGCTTTCCATCACCCCGCCCCATTCTCCTGCTTTCCATCACCTCGCACCATTCTCCCGCTTTCCATAACCCCGCACCATTCTCCATCTTTCCATCACCCCGCCCCATTCTCCCGCTTTCCATGACCCCGCCCCATTCTCCCGCTTTCCATCACCCCACCCCATTCTCCCGCTTTCCATCACCCCGCCCCATTCTCCCTCCTTCCATCACCCCGCCCCATTCTCCCGCTTTCCATCACCCCGCCCTATTCTCCCGCTTTCCATGACCCCGCCCCATTCTCCCGCTTTCCATCACCCCGCCCCATTCTCCCGCTTTCCATCACCCCGCCCCATTCTCCCGCTTTCCATCACCGCGCCCCATTCTCCCGCTTTCCATCACCCGGCCCCATTCTCCCGCTTTCCATCACCCCGCCCCATTCTCCCACTTTCTATCACCCCGCCCCATTCTCCCGCTTTCCATCACCCTTCCCCATTCTCCCTCCTTCCATCACCTCGCCCCATTCTCCCTCCTTCCATCACCCCGCCCCATTCACCCGCTTTCCATCACCCCGTCCCATTCTCCCGCTTTCCATCAACCCACCCCATTCTCCCGCTTTCCATCACCCCGCCCAATTCTCCCGCTTTCCATCACCCCGCCCCATTCTCCCCCTTTCAATCACCCCGCCCCATTCTCCCGCTTTCCATCACCCTGCCCCATTCTCCCTCCTTCCATCGCCTTGCCCCATTCTCCCTCCTTCCATCACCCCGCCCCATTCTCCCGCTTTCCATCACCCCGCCCCATTCTCCCGCTTTCCATCACCCCGCCCCATTCTCCCGCTTTCCATCACCCCGCACCATTCTCCCGCTTTCCATCACCCCGCCCCATTCTCCCGCTTTCCCTCACTCTGCCCAATTCTCCCGCTTTCAATCACCCCGCCCCATTCTCCCACTTTCCATCACCTCGCCCAATTCTCCCGCTTTCCATCACCCCGCCCCATTCTCCCGCTTTCCATCACCCCGCAACATTCTCCCGCTTTCCATCACCCCGCCCCATTCTCCCTCCTTCCATCACCCCACCCCATTCTCCAGCTTTCCATCACCCCACCCCATTCTCCCTCCTTCCATCACCCCGCCCCATTCTCCCGCTTTCCATCACCCCGCCCCATTCTCCCGCTTTCCATCACCCCGCCCCATTCTCCCGCTTTCCATCACCCCGCCCCATTCTCCCTCCTTCCATCACCCTGCACCATTCTCCCTCCTTCCATCACCCCGCCCCATCCTCACGCTTTCCATCACCCCGCCCCATTCTCCCGCTTTCCATCACCCCGCTTCATTCTCCCGCTTTCCATCACCCCGCCCCATTCTCCCGCTTTCCATCACCCCGCCCCATTCTCCCGCTTTCCATCACCCCGCCCCATTCTCCCGCTTTCCATCACCCCGCCCCATTCTCCCGCTTTCCATCACCCCGCCCCATTCTCCCGCTTTCCATCACCCCGCCCCATTCTCCTGCTTTCCATCACCTCGCCCCATTCTCCCGCTTTCCATCACCCCGCCCCATTCTCCCGCTTTCCATCACCCCGCACCATTCTCCCACTTTCCATAACCCCGCCCCATTCTCCCTCCTTCCATCACCCCGCCCCATTCTCCCGCTTTCTATCACCCCGCCCCATTCTCCCGCTTTCCATCACCCTGCCCCATTCTCCCTCCTTCCATCGCCTCGCCCCATTCTCCCTCCTTCCATCACCCCGCCCCATTCACCCGCTTTCCATCACCTCGCCCCATTCTCCCGCTTTCCATCACCCCGCCCCATTCTCCCGCTTTCCATCACCCCGCCCCATTCTCCCGCTTTCCATCACCTCGCACCATTCTCCCGCTTTCCATAACCCCGCACCATTCTCCATCTTTCCATCACCCCGCCCCATTCTCCCGCTTTCCATGACCCCGCCCCATTCTCCCGTTTTCCATCACCCCGCCCCATTCTCCCGCTTTCCATCACCCCGCCCCATTCTCCCTCCTTCCATCACCCCGCCCCATTCTCCCGCTTTCCATCACCCCGCCCTATTCTCCCGCTTTCCATGA